GCCACTCTTCCATGTTGGCCGTGAACTCCTGCGCTGCTGCGATCCCCTGCTCGAGGAAGAATCTGTCGATGTCGGCGTCCCGTCGACGGCGCTGCTCCGCCTCCTCCTCCTCCCGTGCAGAGCACGCGACGATGGCGGCCTCCATGATGTCCGCCTCCGTCGGGGGGAGGTAATCCTCCGTCCCGATGACGCCCCGCCGCTCCGGCTCCCTTTTCGCGTGCGGAGCGGCGGGAGCTCCTCCGGCTCTCTTTTGACTGGCATGAGCGACGTTCGCGAGCTCGAGGCATCGGTGGAGGAGCTGCCTGCGGAGGAGGAGCCGGAGGACAGTTCGCGGCCAAGGGGTGCCTACATGCGGTCGTACTCCTCCGTCTCGCAGCGGAGGAGCGATGGCGGCAGCGAGAGCCCGTTGTTGTTGTACCTACGGGCACTCCTTTTCCTCGCGCCGTTGGCGGTGACGCACCGCCTTTGCTCGGGGTCGTCGCCAACGCCGGCGTCGCGGCCCACCAACCACATTCCACGTCACATCGGGAGGGGAGAGGGGGAATTGGAGTTGCCAGCGGCGAGAAATGGTGAGGGGGGTCGGGAATTGCGGCGGCGCGCGGATAGGGTTTTGACCCGTATTTCAGCCGCAAACCCTAACATATACGGTACGATGGGGGGTAGTTTGCAGGCCACTGTAAAAAAAATATGGGTCGTGCGACTATACGGACTCTGGTCTGACCCAAAAAAAAGCCAAACCCGTATAGTCGCCGGATTTTTATGGGCCGCCAATTTTAAAGGGTCTGCTAAAGATGCTCTAACCTTGACCTACCTGTTTTTGACCTGGCAAATACAATGAATACTTGAACTATGGGCACGGCTATTTTAATTTTTCACCCACCACCGCTGGAGACGATTTCAGCCAGGAAGGCCATGGACGCCGCTCTTCCCCACTCCGCCGCGACCTTGCTGCACGACCGCGTCACCATGGACGACTGTCGCAATCCCCATCGTACCACCGATTTGGGATCTGCCGCCCCACCGTCCCGCCGATTTGGGATCCATTACCATGTCGATTTTTGACCGATTTAGCTATTGACTGGAGTTTCGCTGCCGTATGATGGCCCGCGCAGCTCGCCATTGTCCTTTGGAGCTGGATTAGTGGCCGTCGGAGCTCCGCCGGCAGCTGTACCACCCTCGCGATCGAGCCAAGCGGCCGCTGCTTCGGTCGACGTCGCCGACTCGGTGCCGCCAAATTTTCGGGCAACACCTGCCCGACATGCGTCATGGAGGCTCTCCTAGGCATTTCACCACCGATGCGGCTACCATCGAGGCTCCGATGAGCAGCCATCCGGTTTCATCCTCCTCGCGCACAAGGTGTTCGACAAAATTTATACAATGTAATTTTTGTTAGCTTATTGCTTTTTTCGTTGTGCACGAAGATGTAGTTTGATGGACTTGTCATGAATCCAATGGTTTATTCAGGTGTACGATGACATTAGAGAGTCTGATACATACAATGATCTTCAAAAAGATGTCATGCAGGAATGATGGGCATGACATGGGCAACAACACCCCTAGTTTCGCCTCTATGTTTCTTGTATTGTGGATGAACTTTATTGTATTGTGTGATGAACATTGTTGTATTTATGTTGCATTTGATGTCATGGATTTGATGAATTATGTAATAATTTGGTGTTCTGGATTGATGAAATTATTGTTATGTTGTTTTGGATTGAATTGAGATGAGTTCTATTTTGGGGTAGTTGTTGGAGCATTAGCGCTCTATTTCAAGGCAACTGTTAAAGATTGACGTTTTTTGATGTCATAAAAATCACTTTTAGATATTGTAAATTTTACTCCAAGCATATTTTGATGCATTCAAATAAGGCAGCTATTGAAGATGCTCTGAAGCAACAACAATCGTGGTGTCAAAAAGTCTTCTCTCCTGCACTACAATCGTATTTTGGGCACAAAGTTTTTCATACTCGGTTGAAGATGCTCTTGTACATATAAGAGCATCTCCAATGGGCGCGCTATCTTAGCCGCGCGTTGGAAAAAAATGTTTTTTTTACACGCGCGGAGCCGAAAATGGGCGCTCCAGTAGCCGCACAATAATCGCGCACGGGGTATAACGGGTTCAGCACGCTGAGGAAAACGGCATCGCGCGGTGCTTATTTCGTGTGCCTGCTCCCGCGCGCTGGACATTCGTGCGCGAGCTACTAACTGCCGCCAACCTCTCCGGTCGCCCTGCCTTCGCCCCGCCCCGCACCGCCGCCGGCGAAATTCGATCAATGGAAGGTCGCGCGGCACCCCCCAACCCCTCCCTACACCCGCGACCCTCCGCTGCCGCTAACCCTAGCACGGGGTTGAGCTTCGGCTTCACCGCCGGCGCCCCTCCTCCAAGCACCGGTCTCGCGTCGGCCTTTTCATGGCGCCACTGACGACTTCGCAGGGTGGCGTCGCGCTGCCGCCCGCTATGAAGCCACGAGCCCCCGTCTCCAAGCGATTGAATGCGGCGACGGCGATGGCGGCCCGAAAGAAGAACAAAGCGGTGGACGACTCTTCTAGGCGGCTGAAGAAGAAACTTGCAGGCCGTCCGGCCGCGCCTCCGCACAATTTGTTGCGCCCACGGCCGATGCGCACAAGGTGTTTGATGAAATGCCCACAAGGTATGCTTTGACCCCCCCCCCTTTGTTGTTGTTTTTACATGAATGGATACATAAGGATAGCTTAGTTCTCTTTTACGTACTTTGTAGTTTCAATGATGACAAAAGGTGTTTGATGAAATGTTCACAAGGTATGATTTC